CAGAATGCTGAGGTCAGGTGGAGAATGCTACATCTGATGATGTACCGAGTGGAGTTATAGAGTCAAAATCTTGGGTAGCTTGGAAACGAGATTGGATAAGTTTGTGAGCAGACCTTCTACAGTGTTCTTCCATTCCTGTGTTCTTATGTGGGATAGCGATGAAGAAGTTTCTTGGCAAGTGGTTCAGCTATGTTATAGAAGCCACTATTCTGGTTGAAGTTGTCGGATATAGAAATAAGTGATGATTCCAGGATTCTTCGGTAATGAGTGTTGTCTTCTGTGGCGATAAGTCTTGAGTTTCTGTAGTTTATCAAGTGGTTGTGTGAATTACGGTGTTGTACACAGGCATTCCTTGTGTCGTCAGACCTGCTTGCGTATTGGTGTTCTGAAATACGTGTTTGAATGTCCCTTGATGTTTCGCCCACGTATAATTTGCTGCAGTCATTACAAGGGATTATCTATACCCCTGCAGAGGGTGGAAGCTTGTCCTGTCTATCACTGGTAATGTCCTTGATGGTCGTGGTTGTGGAGGTAGATTCTTTAAGTTGAACATACCTTAGCAGAAAAACTGGTAACTTTTCTTAAATTCGTAATCATCACTATAAAATACAGGAGGGTGGTTGGGCACTAACACTATGTTGTCATGGTAACTGGCGGAATGGTGTCAGAAACGGAAATACAATATGGCGGAACTATTTTCAATCAACAGCTAACATCACTCCGCAACTTCTTCCGTGAAAGTAATCCCACTGACTTTAAACTCATTATAGAAGACATAACGTTACTTAAACTAAAGTGCAATATTTATCTAGGGAATTTACTGGTAAAAGAATACAAGACAAATATTCACACTCATTAATTTATAAAAACACTGAGATATTTAGGTACAAGTGGCTTGTAGATTATTATAATCAAATCTAAGCGCTAAACCCACAAGTCATACAGCGCTGAGTGGCTTGTAGAAATTTACGACCTGGCCTGAAGCAGCTTGATCTCCTTCCCTTTACAAGAACCAATATAATTGGCTGGAAATGATTACACACACAATCAACTGCAAACTGACACAGTAGATATGGTTGTAATATACAGATAAGATCAGGATAAAAGATAAATGCAGACAACTGGCAGAAACACTAACATTGAGCTGAACATCGAGCTGGCTAGGCTACGTGTCATGACACACAAAAACGTTTCTTTGCCCCATTCACGAGGGAGTCTTCACCAAATTCAACTCCTATATGTAGAAAAAAATAATTGTGGCACTCAAGGTATGCTCAAGGCATATTCCTTGACGGAAAAGGAAGAGAAGATATAAACTAGAAAGAGAAAGGCGCTCCCTATACATGCAAAGGCAACGAATAACAGAGTGGCTAAAAGATGCCAGTATATCTGTAATACGAAGGGAGGCACTGACCAGAGAAATATCAAACATCGAACTTGAACTAAAGTAATCTTACAGGAGTCAAGAAATGTGGTGAGAACTAAAAGTCATACATGAAATTGAAAAAAAAAAAACACAAAACACTTCTTTTCTTATGCCAAATCAAAGTCGAGAACAACATCCAGTACTGGGCCCCTACTTAGATGAGATGGGACTTACAAAGATGACAGCAAGAAAATGAGTGAGCTACTCAAGTCCTAATATGACTCGGTTTTAAGCGAGCCGCTAACCAGGCTGAGAGTCGAAGAGCTAAATGAATTTTTTATGAGGGACACAGAATTTGCTAGACTTAAACCTGACATTATACTGACGCCAAATGACTTCGAAAAGGCGATAAATGCACTCTGCCCCAGGCCCAGATTCATGGACTCTGTTCATCGAGATCTGCAAGAAGCCCCTGTCATGTGCTTTTAACATCCTGTGGAGAGGGAGCATGGATACAGGGGTCGTCCCACAGCCACTAAAAACAACAGACTTAGCCCCAGTCCACAAAGGTGGCAGTAAAGCAATAGCAAAGAACTACAGAATGATACCGCTAACATACCATAGCATAAATATCTTTGAAAGGGTTCTAAGAAGCAAGATCGCCACTCATCTAGATACCAATCAATTTCATAATCCAGGACAACATAGGTTAAGAGCAGGTCGCTCTTGCTTGTCCCAACTACTGGACCACTATAACAAGGTTCTGGATGCTCTAGAAGATAAACAAACGCAGATGTAGTATATACTGACTTTGCAAAAGCCTTTGACAAACCTAACCATGGTATAATAGCGCACAAAATGCACGATAAAGGAATAACAGGAAAACTTGGTAGATGGATTTATAATTTCCTAACAAATACAGCACAAAGAGTAATAGTAAACAGAGTAAAGTCTGAGGCGGCTACAGTGAAAAGCTGTATCACAAGGCACGGTACTCTCTCCTATCCTGTTCCTCATCCTCATATCTGACAGACAGGGAAGTAAGCTATAGCATCGTGTCTTCCTTTGCAGATGACATCCGAATTTGCATGACAGTGTCCTCCATTGAAGACATTGCAAGTCTCCAGGCGAACAAAAACCAAATTTTTAAATGGGCCTCAGAAAACAATATGAAGTTCAATGAAGAGAAATTTCCATTTCTCCGATATGGAGAACTTGAATAGATTAAAAAGGTATAGGAGTATAAAACAAATTCCAAACACGTAATAGAACGAAAAATAATGTAAAAGTCATGGGAGTGATCAAGTCAGAGGATCTCACCTTCAAAGACCGCAACATTGTGGAATCGCATCTGCTAGAAAAATGACAAGATGAATAATGAGAACCTTCAAAAGTATGGATACGAAGAATATGATGACACTCTTCAGGTCGCTTGTTCAGTCTAGGCTGGAATATTGCTGCACACTTACAGCACCTTCCAAGGCAGGTGAAATTGCTGACCTAGAAAGTGTACAGAGAACCTTCATGGCACAAATAACTGCGATAAAATACCTCAATTACTGGGAATGCTTGAAGTTCCTCAACATATACTCCCTAGAATGCAGGCAGGAGAGATACATGATTATATGCACTTGGAACATTATAAAGAGATTAATACTAAACTTGCACACGAACATCACTCCCAATGAAAACAAAAAACTCGGCAGACGATTCAACATCTCCCCCAATGAAAATCTGGGAAGCCACTAGCACGATAAGAGACAACACAGTAAGTGTGAGGGGCCCAAGACTGTTCAACTGCCTCCCAGCATACATAATGGGGATTACTAATAGACCCCTGGCTGTCTTCAAGAAGGCGCTGGAAAGGCATCTAAAGTATGTACCTGAGCAGCCGGACTGTGGTTCGTATTTTTGGTTGTGTGCGGCCAACAGTAATAGCCTTGATAATCAGGCCCAGATCCACCATGAGTCCTGGTCACAAACCGGGCTGCGGGGCCGTTGGCCTCCGAAACCCTCTCCAGGTATACTCCAGGTATAGTATCAATTAGAATGTCCAGTAGTCACGACATACAGCACACTAATGGTATCATGGTGTTGATGCACAGGAAAAAAGCAGCTGGATGATCTAGGTGCTTGCAGGCACTGGCTGGCAATTTAAAGAAGAAAGATGGTGGTGTGAGTAGCGTCTACTTCACACTCAAATATTACTCCCATAACCAGAATTCAAAGAATTCTGCTAAGGTGGGGTCTCTCAAAAACAATGTTCTGTTACAATTGATTTGAGAATGTGCAAGCCGGGGATCAATAAAGCTTCAGAGGCTTGTTACTTTATTTGGGTTCTTGGTGTACAGGCAGTGTGCTAAGTGCCCTGGCCAAGGAAGACCAAGCCCATGAGAGAGTGACGGGGTAGTGTTCTTGCCTGAGTGCTGTCGGCTGCCACAATGAGGCAGGGTAAACGTGGTGCAAGCTGAGCTTGGTTGGCCTATGCCACTAGGTGTCAGCAACATAGTGCTGCGAAATATGAACCCAACACAAACCTACCCATGGTCGTCCTCGACCATGATTGACTAAAAAGAAAAACTCGGCCCCTCTCAGGGACAGGGCACAGAGCACAATAAAAACATATATATACATGTGGACATGGACAAAAAAAAAAAACTTCCTACAGGGAGGAAAGAAGAAAAGGGAAGGGGGTGCTAAATATCGTGGTCCAAGGCAGTGAGCCTCGGCGGTCATCACTGCACGCCTTCCTGTATCTGGACAGATACTGCAACACAAGAGATATTGTGGAGTAGTCGCTGCAAGGTTTACTCAACCTGGGGCACAACCTGCTGGTGCCCTCGAGTGAGGCATTATCATACTCCGCAACTAGACAGGACTTCATCTGGCAAGTAACTCAGGAAGACATTTCTCGACTGGTACTGTAACTGGGGCTGTCACTGCCGGCGAGAGTGGTGAGTCATAGCAGAGATGACTCAGGTGAGGGAGTCATTGCAGCATACACTCTAACTAGAGTGAGCAGGCTAGCAGTCAAAGTGACCTCATACTTTGTGCAGGCTGCTCACTGAAGCTGTGACACGAATCAGACAGTTGCCTGCCGACAGGGCTGCTGCAGCGTGACAAAATTATCCTCTCAAAGTTGGAATCATATAAGGTTAACTAAGCATCCTAGGGCGGTTTCAAAAACTGCACTCTGCGGTCAGGGGGGAGCAAATGATCTCAAATGAGTAGCCATTTAAGTACGACTCAGTTTTCTGTACTTGAGAGCCAACCCCATAATCTGATGCCTGACTGCTAGTCAGTTTAAAAACGGTTACAATGCGTGCTTTAAACATGGGGGTTTTACCAAGGGGTCGGGCTCAACCACACGTGGTCAAACAACACATCTGGGATAAACATACATAGGAAACACGGAAAACTGCACACACCCCAATGCACATGCGGTTTACGCCTGGCTTGCTCAAGCAAAAGATATTTTTTTTTCTGTGAAAAAACGATACTAGCATTCACGAAATATGAGAACACGGAAGGGAACAAGAGAATTAAGGTTCATTTTGGGACTTGTTAAACAGTGTACACTTGTAAGTTATGTTTACTTCTTGTCCTGTATTAGACTGTTGTTTTTTGCTTACAGAGACTGCTATGGATGTAACATAAATCCAGGATAATACGACTCGAATTAAAGGCTGTCCAAGTAAGTAACAAGGGCATGTATAGGTAAGTAACACTGGCAATGTAAGGAAAAAAAACACGGTAGTGTACAGGTAATAACTTTGGGCAATGTACAGGTAATAACAAGGGGTTTTGAGGGGTAACACTGCGTGTACAGGAAAGAACACTGGGTGTACAGAAACACGACTTTTTACAGGTAACACGGGGCAGTGCACGTAACACTGGTAGTTACGGGTAAGTAACACGGGCATGTACGGTAAACGGGTAGTGTACAGTAATAACACGGCAGTGGGGCAGGAAATAACACGGGCAGTGTACAGGTAAAACCGGGCATTTACAGGAAATAACACGGAATTGTACAGGAAAGTAACACTGCAGTGTACAGGTAACACGGTATTTTGGGAAAAAAAAACACGGGCATGTACAGGTAAATAACACGGCATGTACGGTAACACTGGCATGACAGGTAACACTACAGTGTACGGGAAACACGGGCCCTGTACAGGAACACTGTCATGTACGGGGTAACACGGCAGTGTACAGTAAAATTATATACAGGTAAAAACACGGCAGTGCAGGTAATTAACAAGGGCAGTTACAGGTAACACTACAGTGTACGGGAAACACGGGTAGTTACAGGTAACACTGGATGAAGGTAACACGGCGTGTACGGAATAACACGGCAGTGACGGGTAACACGGCATCTACAGGTAATAACACGGCAGTGAAACAGGAACACGGTATGTACGGGGTAACACTGGTATGTACAGGAAACACTGGCAGTGTACGGTAAGTAACACGGGCAGTACGGGACACGGGCATCTACGGGTAAGAAACGCGGCATGTACATGTAACACGGCATGTACAGTTAAGTAACACTGGCGTGTACATGTAAGTAACACGGCAGTGTACCGTTAAGTAAACACTGCATTTCAGGTAAGTAACACTGGCAGGTCAGGTAAGTAACCGGGCAGGTCCGGAACACGGCATGTACAGGTAAAAACACTGGCAGTGTAAGGAAATAACACGGGCATGTAAGGTAAATAACACGGCATTGTACAGGTAAATAACACGGCATTTAAGGGTAAATAACACTGGCAGTGTACAGGTAAGTAAAAGGCAGTGTCAGGTAAATAACACGGCAGTGTAAGAAAAACCCCTGCGTGTACGGGTAAGTAACACGGGCGGTACAGGTAAATAACACTGGCAGGAAAAGGGTAAATAACACGGGCAGGTACGGTAAGAACACTGGCAGTGTAAGGAAAAGTAACACTGGCATTTAAACAGGTAATAACATGGCATGTCGGGTAACTTTGCCATTCTTTTTAATTACTGATGAATAACAAACATCACTAAACCATTTTTTAGTTTATCTTATCTTTCCCAGACAACATTTTTTAATACAATTATTTTATTGAATGATTTGTTATTGGGGAACTTTTATTCTATAAAAAATTTTCCTAAAAAAAAAAAAACAGAATAATTTCAGTCTGTTCTTATTTTATTAAATTGTTTGTTCAGTGAAGTGCATTCATAAAACTCTATGTATAAATTATCGTTGCCTTTGTTATGCATTATTATTATTATTATAATCAAAAAGAAGCGCTAAGCCACAAGGGCTATACAGCTGCCTTTGTTATGCAGAACCAAAATTTAGGTTTGTGTTAATTTACGATGACTTATTGATACTATAATAATTTAATGATAAAACATTTATCTGAAGTGGGTTTGTCTAGATATGAAAAATTTATTGTGTAGGCAAAATCTTCTTCTAATGTTTTATTTAATAATGGTGAGTCCGCTTTTTTCTTTTTTTTCTGAGGTTTACCTGGAGAGGGTTTCGGGGGTCAACGCCCCTCGCGGCTCGGTCTGGGACCAGGCCCCATAATTTTTTAAATTAATTGGAATTAATGATATGTAAATAAACATACTTTGTGTTAGAGGTACTGGGGTTCGAACTGGTGTCCTTGCAATTTAGAGGACGATAATTTGGTCAGAGTATTACTTTCACAATTTGTTACTTTCACGATATATTCTAATTTAATATTTACACTTTCACGTAGGATTGGTGCAATAATTCAGCTGCGTCAGGTACGACCTTGGCTGCAGCCTAAGATACTCTTTAGGCTCTCTGGGTACGCCAAGGAGCATGATGCCTGTCTTAAAATCCTGCATAAGTTCTCTTATGATACTATCAGAAGCAGGCGTAAAGAATACCTGGAGATAAAACAGAAGAAGGATGCAGCATCCGACAAAGAGGATGTAATTGGTACGTTGGTTGATTGATTTAATGGTTTAATTATAAATATATTGACTACAAGAGGTTACGGAGAGTGCATGTCATCTATACTCCACCAGTAAAGCATAAATAATCTTTAAAAGCAGGGATAATTTTTATTATTATATTTATTATAATATTACATTCATGGGATAACTGCTCAATTTGCACTGAACGTAGAGCACCATTGATCCAAGGAAATGGAGGATCATTCCTAGCAAGTTCCTTTCACCAGCATCAAGGCACCTTCCTGGAAGGGACTAAATCAGGAATTTCAGTAAACTGTGAGTATATATACACCGAGAAATATACACTTCTACGTGTATATAATCTTGATTTACAGGAGATTTACATTACGAACGAAGAAGCTTAAAATATATAAATTCATCTTACACTAAAATATATTATGTTTATAGTAGGTCAAGTAACAGATAAGTCTGATGAAGATGAAAGATTCTGTATTTAGATATTTGATGGTATGTTGGAAGGGCAACGTAAAGTAAGGTTGGCAAGTGGTGTTCGTTGTGCAAGATTGTTCAGTGTTGGGATGGTTGTCTCGTCAGAATTAATGGAAAGACTGGACAATAGGGTGTGACCATAATGCAGTATAATTTTATTTAAGTTGTTGCATAATATTCTCTTTATTACATCCATATTGTATTAGAAATCTTGAATAATGATGTCTTGCAGTAATGAATTACTCTTTACCTGTAGCTGTAGATCTTTCTTGTAGGGAAAAATTTGTGAATTACGACTAAAATATTTAAATTAAAGGAAGCTCTTCATTAAAAGGAGAAGACTGATGTTTAAGGCACATATACTTTAGCTTCTGATAAGCGTTATTTGTTCTCTCAAATTCAGGAAAGAAGAAGCGCTTGGCATTCTTGGACCTGTTGTTGGAGTACTCCGAGCAACAAACTATGCTCTCTGATGATGCCCTTCGTGAGGAGGTTAAAACATTTATGTTTGAAGGTCCGACACACGCGTGCTATCAACTGGTTTTCCTCTATTTGTTGGGTTGTTACCCAAACCCGGGGAATGCCCTCTCACTCTCACAGTATCGTGTTTTTTTAAATAAGTATCCAACGACCTAACAAAACTGTTGATTTTTTAGTTAGAGCATGGGTGAGGGAGTTTGCTGGAGATATGTGTTTGTACTACCATTTGTACTCCCCTATTTGTGGTTGCAGGGGTCGGTCTTATTCCCGGGCCCCGCCTCTTCACGGTTGCTCGGAGTGTGTTTTTGTGTGTGTGTGTGTGTTTGGGGGTTGGTGTGTGTACAAAAATGTAAAAAGCCTTGTACAACACACAAAACCTGTCCTCTCTTGAAACGTCATTTCCCAGGATGTGCCAAGTGCGTTTTTTAAACGATCCAGAAAACTTTACATTTTATTATTGCTTATTTACGTTTGTTCAGGTCGCAAAACCCAGTTAAAAAAGTAATTACCCTCTTTTTTAGAAAAATTAAATGAAAAATCAGAAAGCGGGAAAGGAGGAAACCCAAAGGAACGTTTTTAATTTTAAACGATTTATTCGTGATGTAAATTATGTGCGCAGTATTTCACGCACGAACACAATGCTGATCACAGAGGGGGCCACGGGGGGATTGATCCCTTGGTCACGCCCGGGCCGTGGGGGGCGTTGACCCCCGAACCCTCTACACCACAACAAAAAATGTAGCCCCAAATTTTTTAAAAAAAAAGGGACAGACAAGAACACTAAACTATAGCCCAGTCCCACGACGTGATACTATGAAAAGTCAGGGAGAAGTTATCAGGGGGAAGAGGGGGTGGAACCCAGAAAGAAATGAGCTTATCAACAACACCCAAACCGGTTTCGGGACGGGAAACCCCTGCGTCCAAACCTTGGAGTTATATGACGGGTGACAGCAGTAAAAACAAGAGAGGAGAGGGGGGTTTTTGGGGCACTCAGCTCTGAAATAACTTCAGACGTAATACAAAGTGGCTCCCCTCGGGAAAAATTTTGAATAGAAAACGAAATAAAAACTCGCAAAGATAAACTTTATTATTTATTAAAGCAAACATAAAAAAAAAAAAATAAAACATACAGGTATATCCTATTTGAAAAAAAATGAAAAATGAAATGAATAAAATAAATTTGAACTAAATGCTAAATATATATTGGGGTTGCTGGTGTTGGTGCCCTTGTGTTGTTGAAATCTTACCCTTGTATGTGGGGGGGGGGTCAAAAGGAGTTGGTGACCACCATCGGGTATTCTTCACGGTTCGCCGTGATATTCTATCCCGATGACAGGAAAGCAGGTTTTTACCGCTGAATGATGTGGGGTTACTCCCCGCAATTTTTTACAGGTGCACAGGTAATTAAAACCCAAAAGGGCGCTCCAGGGCGTTGTCCGTCTCCCTCATTCTCCTCGTTATTTACAGGGGGACCCCTCGTCATCCAAGCGAAAAGAACGGGGTTTCCCCCTGCTTTAAATAATCACTCTCCATGATAAATACAAAACCCCAAAAAACCCCCTGGTGATTATTTTAAAAAGTCAACTTAGAGCAAGGCGAAAAGATAATTTATTATTGGTCCAAAGTAAGCTTTTCAACCAATAAATCCATAGAAAACAGGCAGGCATGTACTTACAGTATGCTGGGGCTGTGGTCTAGTGATTACTGTTTGACCAGAGCCCCACACATCACCTTTTGGTGGGGGGGGGGGGAGGAGGGGAAGGGAAGGGGGGAAAAGAAAAAGGGGAAAAAAAAGGGGGGGGGGGGGAAAAAGGAAGCGGGGGGAAAATTTTTTTTTTTTTAAAATTTTTTTTTTTTTTTTTTTTTTTTTTTTTTTTTTTTTTTTTTTTTTTTTTTTTTTTTTATTTTTTTTAACCCTACCTTAACAAGTATCCTGCAATGAAACTTTTGTTTATCTATAATAGACCCTCGCTACTCCTATCTATTGAAGGTTTCCCTCACACTCCCCCCATACCAAGACTTATAGTCAGGAGTATAAGAAGATAGGCGAGGAAAAAGTTCTAACATGTGAAGTCGCGTAAGGCAAATCTTTCTACTGACTGTCATGACTTAACCAGTCAGAGAAATATAGCATGAACTCATTGATATACACAATATTGAACTTAAAGGCCTGAGTGCCAAAGTCCACCTCAAGAGGCGACTGTTGGTTCCTTATAAAGTATCCTAGGTATATCAAAAGGATGTGTGTCCCGTTTGTAAAATGAATTCTTTTCCCAACAAATAAATTTTAAGTGTTGGAGATACCAACACAAGTGTAAACAATCTTTTTTCTATTGTGTAGAATCTCGTTCTGTGCGGAAGGAGTTTCCGGCTTAGGAAGCCATACAGGGAAAGGGAGTACCATCATGGTATTGGACTAACACACCGCACCCTAAGCCATATTGGAGCATCAGTTCTTAAACAAAATGTTTTATTAATATCGGAATCTAAGTATAGTGTCATTCAAAAAGATGCTTTTAATCTCATTAAAACTATTCCCGAGCTACGTCGAAAGTTCAAGAGGTATCCTTCACAGACCTTTTTTTAAGGCAGTCGGATAAGATGCCTGTAAGATCAGTAGTTCGAGATAATCCGTGGCATAAAAAATTTTACAGAACCAAGGAAAGCTACGCATGAGCTTCCTGGTTTTGGAATTTAAATTCTAATAAAGCTTTGATCTTACTGGGAGAGGCGCAGAGAGTTATTAGAAAGTATCAGTCCAAGATTATCATATTATTGTTATACCCAAGGAAGCATTCACCGTCCTTGGCAGTTGAGGCCATGTGAGCGTAACCTACGCAAAACTGATTTTGAATTTTGGATATGTTCGCCCATAGATGGTCATTTAGTAAATGATATCAAATAAAAACTGAAACAATGGCATATTACCCCAAGACCTTTCTCATCATCCTCACGTAGGTAGCACAGGCAGTATTACCAAACCAAGGTCATAGTTCTATATTGCATCATTCCATGGTGTGTAGGAAAAGCGGTGTACTGCTTAGAAAATGATCTAACATACTTGATGATATGCCTGTGCAATATCAATCTCTGAAAAGATGAAGTGTCCATAAAATTTGTTAGATTCATATCTATTAAGGGCAAGGCTCAGCATCCACCGATTTAAGCATAAGGCCTCTGAAGTCAATATCAAGTCTATATGAATTATCCTCCTTCTTAACCATGACTACTGGGAACAATATAAGATACTGAAGGTTCAACGATCTTTAGTTTTAATAATTTTGTCTGACCTCTCGGTCAAATGCATCCCGAAGGAGAACTGGACAGGTATAATTTTTCGTTTGATAGTTGTCCCGTCACTAAGTCAATCTTAAGGGACTACCGTGGAGTAACACTGAATATCAGTAAGACGTCTGAAAAGATACTCACACATAGTATAGGTTCATGTCTCTTATGGTCAACCAAAGATTTCATTAAAATAAAAGTGGTTTGCGCCCGAGTGGTCAAGAGTCACCAAGTCATGTAGTTTCTTCATCTAGTCTTATTAGAGTGTCAATTACGCACACCTTTCGTTCTTCGTTGACGTATTCAAGTCGTGTGAAAAATAAGTCAAAGTTTTAAGCAGTTTAACCGAATTTCTTCTGGTAATATTTCTTAAGATGTTGATATGAAAAAGTTTAGGTTTCCCCTTGAACTTCTATGAGGTAGTCAACTTTCCTCAAATTTTTAATACTTATATGTACCTTTCCATGCTACTACTAATTTATATTGACTGGATAGGCAAAAGTACAAGAACTTCATCCCTACTTTAAAACATCTCCCTGACTTATATAATCAAATAGTTTTTTGTATTGGACCAATGACAGCTAAAAGTTTTTCGAAACGTGTCCAGAGTCTCCTCAAGTTTTGGATATATGTTCAATGGAGAAACTGGTAAGAGACTGAACCTCAGCATTTACCTCCATATTTGTCCATAAGTCAAGAAGGATGGACAGTGGACCTCTGGCCTGTCTACCATAGAGAAGTTCAAAGGTGAAAACCCCCAAAGAGTCACTTGGAACATCCTCATGGCAAACAAATCATCAGGTAGGTAACGATGCCACTCCTTATTAAGGGAGCAAAGTTTCCTTAAAAGGACTTGAGAATCGAATGCTGGTGCACAATCCTCCCATTACAGCTGGGATGATAAGGTGATGTGAGAGAGGCTTCACTCCTAGAAGTTGGTATAGATGTTGCATTAAGTCCAGATGTGACTTGTGCCTACGGTCAGAACAAAATTATCTCTTAGGTATGTCCCACTCTAGAGAAGATGGACAAAAGGGCTTTCAGCCCACCTCTGTAGTAGTTATGGCTTTAAGGGTACGGCTTCCGTGAAAGTTTCTCGAAGCATAATCCAACTAATTTAATATATTACTATGTCCCCCAGATGTAAGTGGAGATAAAGGACCATCGATGTCAATACATACTCATTCAAACGGTACCATAAAGATATGCTTTTTTGACGCAAAGTACTCGCCTGGTACCTCGGGAGATGACAGTTGCAAACTTTACACCTATCTACAATAGTAGTGACGACCTGAGGACATTTTTGTGCCAGAAATAGGTTTTCCCTAATTTTACTTAAGGTTTATACGGATGCAGAAATGACCGGCCACTGGCAGGTCAAGAGCCAATTTAAGAATGGTCTCCTGCATGACTTGGAACAACTAAGAGGAATAGCTATCTCATCTTAATTAATTGAATACTGACTTGTACAAGATATCCTATTATATAATCCAATTATCTATGAAAAGTTTTTCTTGTATAACTGATTTTGTATAGCGGCATTATGGCAGATTCCTGATGAGAAGGTTCAATTTACGTTGTAAATTGACAAAAGAGTCTTTGAAATATCTAAAAGGCTTGAAGTCAGGGAAAATCAAAGGATTGGACAGAGGGAAGCTATCCATTAGACCTGAGCCCTAGTCAAGACATTTATGGAATCGGAGGTGATTCTTCACTTTCCATCTAACAAGTGAACCGTGATCCAACTACCTCGCTTTCGAGATTAGCATCACTGGGTTTTTAATCCCACATGACATCTCATGAACATTGTCTCATCTGAGCTTTCGAGGGCTTCTCTGACATTACAGGAAGAGGATCAGAAACACTTATGTCCATCTTTGGCGATGAAAGGTCAGCTCAGAAGGAAGAATGGCACCTTTTACTTACCTATTAGTACGGAGACAAGAAGTGAATGGTAGCTAGTACGGCTACAGACCAACCTGTGAACCATTTAGACCTAATGTAACAACGGATGGCAGAAAAGTGACTGAAACGCCCAAGTAGTCCTGATAAGTATAGCAGAGGAATGAGTTTCTATTTAAGATAGGGAACAGTCTTATCAGAAATTACTATACATGTCATCCAGTGTCTCGTAAAAATGGTAGATACATTAAGTCCAATTAACTGTTCCTGAACAGAAGGGCGCTATGGTCATTACATTCCTTTAAAACATCATTCCACTTTTTGGGCCTTCTTAGAAGGACAATCTGGACCGTTATATGTCCCTTAAACACACACAAATGACAAAACCAGGAATACAAAGAAGCATTTTACTTTCCACTAGAGCTTTGATTCTTAAGGTCCTGGATGACCCCTTGCCCTTAGGGTTCGATTCCCTTTAGTCCTTTATAGAATTGTGACCTCAGCATAAAGGTCAGCAGCCTCAGCAACTTCCTCATCTTTAATTAGGTAACGTTCCTCTAATGAATGTTCATATCTGTGAGGAAGAGCTGTCAGGAACTGGTCACAAACCATGAAGTCTCTAAGAGATTCATAACTGTGATCATTCCTGAACTCATCTATCCAAAAGTCGAACAAACTAGTTTTACCTGTAACTGCCTGAAAGTTCTGGCCAGGCTGTAAGGTGGCATACCAGCAATCTTCCTGTAAGAATTAGTGGTTTTTTGATAGCCTTTAATTGATGCCTTCTTCAGTAGGTATAATTACATATGATATCCGGCACAAAGTTGTAATCATATATATTCAATACAGTACCAGAAAATAACATTCCTAAACCTGGTATCCCCAGTGTCCAGCAGGCCACTCAGAGGGGTAGCGGTATTTTCAAACCTGATAATATGAAGTTTATGTCCTTCCCCCCTTCTGTGAAGGGAGGTAAATTAGGTCTTGGAATATGTCACTAGCTTGCACTTCTTCCCTATTACTCCTTCATCTAATTGGCTGTTGTGGAGAAAGTTAACTTACTTATTCCTCTAATTCAAGCGAGTTTTGTTCGGAGCTGCGATCCTTTTCACATCTCCTAAACTCATATTCTCTGTCCTGCGTCTTTCCTCATTCCCTTAATTTAACCTTTCCTCACATATCTTTATCTTGTTCCTCACGTACTCTAGCTCTCTCCTCAGGGGGGGGGGGGGGGGGGGGGGGTTTTCAAGTCTATCACGCTCATTTTTGTCTTCTCGCTCTTTCTGTCTTTCTTGGATTTCTCTCTCAATTCCTCTCTCTCTCCTTTTTCTCTCTCATCGATTCTCTCTCTCTACATTTCATTCTCTCTTTCCCTTTCTGTCTTATTCTCGTCTCAATCTCTCTCTTTCAAGTCTTTCCTGGATCTTAGCACTAATGAAAAGATTCTAAAATTTTTCCCTTTTATACCTAACAACTCCAGCATTCATCCAAAACTGTATTCATCCATAGCTTGTAAGAATAACAACTATCCAGGTGAAATGAAACGGGAAATAAAGAACGGAGGGTTCAATTCCTGCTCCGCTCACACGTAAATAAACCAGAGGCTCGATCCCAGTTTCAATTAAACAAATATTATTAATGAAAACGAATGGTTCTATGCCGCTCCCGAGCAAACAGTAAGTAGAATGGGGGTCACTTGACCATCCATTCATCTCACCAACAAATCAAGAGTGCCCTATGACAGTTCCCGTGATATAATAAAGAGCTCAATGAAACAAATGTCACAGGAAAATCTCGGTTCCCTAAAGTCCTAATCCTCCAAAGTGTTCTCAATCCCAACAAGAAATGTGGCAGAATTAATATTATATCCTGCCTGACTTGAACTTTACATAAATTGAGTACTATATAACAATCACCAAATCTTTTAAATACCTGTACCGTATCCACCATAGAGAATGATTACACATGGCTGTTGTTAACCTCTGTGGTATGCGTCGTTGAAGTCCAAAGGTAGATTCGAGATGAGTTGAAATCTTGATTCAGTAGCGTTGATCCTGGTAAGGTACGCCATTTGTAAGGCTTACTCAGCTCGTAATAACTCAGACAGTATTACCAAAGCTGCTCCTCCTCAGGAAATTAAATGAATAGAAAGACGAAATAATAATTAACAAAGATAAACACTATTTTTTTTTTAAAGCAAACAAAAAACAAAAAACATGACAGGTTATCCTATTTGAAAGAAAAATGAAAATAAAATGAAAAAAAAATTTTACCAACGCTAATATATAATTGGGGGGTCTGGTGTTGGTGACATTTCGTTTTGTTGAAATCTTCCTTTTGCGATTGGGGGGGGGGGGGTGTAGGTTTTGGTACCACCACCAGCTGTTCTTCACAGGTATCACCATGAGTTTTTACCCCGATGAAGGAAACAGGTTCTTTACCACGAAAATGAGGGGGGTTTTACGCCGCAATTTCAACGGTGCATAGGTTTAAAACCCAAATTTGGGACGTTCCGGACTTAGTCGTCTCCGTCAGTTCTCCTCTTTTGTTTGACAGGTGCCCCTCTCTTCATCCAAGCTGAAAAGTGAAGGTTCCCACTGTTTTAAATAACACTCTCCATGATAAAACAATACCTAAAAAAACGAGATTTTTACGACTCAACTTAGAGAAGGCTGAAAAATTAAATTTTTATTGGTCCAAAGTGAAGCTTTTACCAAAAAATCCCCTAGAATACAAGGGAGGCATTTTCTTAAAATGTTGGGGGCTGTGAGTCGGTGATTTAAATGTTTGACCAGAGCCCCCCCGTCACCTTTTTGGGGGGGGGGGGGGAAAGGGAGGGAAAAGGGATAGGGGAGAGACTGACCCTCGTTAACAAAGCCGGCAAACAAACTACATTTGGGGTGGGGGGGGAAAAGGTGGGAATACTGGGAGCTGGACTTACCCCACCCTTTAAAAATAGCCCGGGAATGAAAAATTTGTTATATATTTCCCCCCGCTATCCTATTATTGAATTTTTCCCTCACAGGGGTGGGGTTGTTGCATTTTCTTGGACATTAAGAAGCTTTAACACAGTTCCCACAGAGATTTGTGCAAAAATGGATGATAAGCAGGATAACAGTGAAGGACTACAGTGGGAAACAGGGAATACCTCTCAGGAAGACGCAGTGAGTCTGGTACGCGGCGAGGGACAGAGTGGGCACTGTTAGGTGGGGGTTACAGGTTCATCCTAACAGTGTTTTTTGGTATTTGTGAACGACATGACGGAGGAATAGACTCCCGAAATGTCCCGTTTGCAGATGATGTGAATTTGATGAAAAATAAATCGGACGAGGACCCGAAGAACTACAAGGGGATCAGGACAAGTGCAGGCCTGGTCCGCAACTGGGTCCCGGGGTTCAAACCCCCCCCAAGTGCAAAGTCAGAAGATGGGAACGGCAAAAGGGGGGCGACGGAGTACAGTCTGGGGGGGCAAATACAAACCTCACTAAGGAAAAGATCTTTTGGGCGAGATAACACCAGGAACATCTGAGTCGACTCAGCCAAAAAAACTCCTGAAACATTGGGGCCTAGCAAAATATAAGAACAGCATACCGCCTCTTAATAAGGAAACGTTCAGGACCCCGTACACTGTGAAAAAGGGCCCCTATTTGGGGTTGTGGCCAGTTTTGGGAACCCCCAAACTAGCCAAACACGTGAAGAAATAGAAAAGTGCAAAGGTTTTCAAAAGATATTCCCGGTAAGGGGGTTGTCCTACGAGGAGAGGGAAATCGAGCTGACGATAGTGGAAGACAGTAGAGATAGGGGGGACATGATAACGACGTGTAAAATACTGAGAGGAATTGACAAGGTGGACAGAGACAAAATGTTCCAGAGATGGGACACAACAACAAGGGGACACAATTGGAAATTGAAGAGACAGATAAATTACATAGATGTTAGGAAGTGTTTCTTCAGTCACAGAGTAGTCAGGAAGTGGAATAGTTTGGGAAGCAATGTAGTGGAGGCAGGATCCATACATAGCTTAAAGCAGAGGTATGATAAAGTTCTTGGTGCAGGGAGTGTGACCCAGTAGAGGCCAATGAAGAGGTGAGGCCAGGAGCTATGAATCGACCCTTGCAACCAAAACTAGGTGAATACAAGTAGGTGAGTACGCACACACACACAAGAAAAAAGAGTATAACTTTATATGTACTTTCTGGAGGCCCGTGTTGATGAGGAGCTACAGTCTATCTTCGGTGACTCAGAGCGTCCAGTGACCATGGCTGACCTGCGTGAGATGAAGTACACAGAAAACTGCATCAAAGAGGCTCTCAGACTCTTCCCTTCTGTGGGCCTTTCCTGGGGCCCGAGGGCCTCAAAGAGGAGGTTGTCATTGGTAGGAATCAAATTATTTTTGTTACTATGTAGGGGAAATGCTAAACCCGTAAGGGTCGATTAACATATGAAAAATAAATATGAGGGATGGGGTAATGAGGCTTGATGTGAGGATGGGGAGAGGCGCTCCATTTCCTTTAATAAAAAAATCTTTTTCAACTCATCAAAGCTTGGAACAAAGAAAAACTACTTTTTTTTTTTTTTTTTAGAAATTTAAGTAATCTTTAATAATCAGAATTTTGCTCTTTTGGCTGCTTAAAGATTTTGTGTCTGTTACGACTGAAGTTTTGCATGATCCAAAAAGGTTTAGCGTTGTTTTCCAACATGAAAATATTGCTATTAATAATTTCTTATTTAGTTTTTCCTAAAAAAAATTTGTTTTTTTTTTTTGTATTTATAAATTATTAACATTAAATTTTTATAAACCCTTTTTCATTAAAATAAAACACGCTTTTAACTATGAATTTTATGTAAAATTTCGCATCCCAGCTGCCCACTGTGATGGTGGGACTTACTGTTTTCACCGTGCCCCAGCACATTTTCCCAACCCGGAAGTCTTTGCCCAGACGCTTTTTTTGGAGAAATGTCACCCGGGAAACCCCTACGTTTACATTCCTTTCGCGTGGACCCGGGAACTGTATCGGTGAGTCTCACGGGTTTTCGTCTCAGAATAATCAAGCACGAAAATACAAACAATGGACATTATTTTATTATACCCCCAAAAAGCTTTTGAAAAGAACATGTTTTTATGAATTTTTTGAGAAGTTTCGGCCATCAGGGTTTTGAATAAAAAATACTCTGGGAACTAAATTTTCAAAAAATGCCTAAATCTTTTATTTTGACTTATTAACATGAGTTAACTTATGATTTTTAGTTAAGTGGGGCTGAAGGAGCTGAAATTGCACTTAAACCTTTGGGCCCGTAAATTCAGCAGTGTGACTTTATTCTTTTCTTCAGATTTATTTAAATTTGGGGGAATAAATTGCCCATTTCATATAAATTTGTGGAAAAGTACTACCAAATGTAAAATAAAGTGACAGCTTTAGCTTTTTGTTATGTTTTTTAACAAATTTCATGATTTAATTTTTGTCGTGAAAGAATTTTTTATGTTGTGTCCCTTGATTTAACCACAGCATTTTATCCCCCTTTGAGGTTTTTTACTTCTGGGAAGGGCTTTTTTATTCATGAAATTGAAGTTATACTTTGTTTTTTTATAAACAAACCTAACTGCCTTCCATTCCCAGTTCCTAGTGCTATATACCCTTAAAAGTTTAGAGTTCCGCCTTCAATATAATAAAATGTTGCTAGGGGGGTCCTACTGTAGGTGAAAAGAAGAATGCAAAAACTTAGGTCCAGTTCTGGTTTTTGTGTAAACCAGTTTTGAAAATGGGCTTTGGGTCTCTGTCGTAATTCTTCGTCCACTTTTGACGACATCGTTGTCAGACCATCATATATCCCTCCTCCTTTTGAAATCTTCATTGTAATAACTTTATGCCTCTATGATAAGGAGACATATAAGGAGTTAAAGGAACCTTATTAATAACGTTTAGCCCATTCAATGAAGTAGTCGTGAGGTCAGGTCAGGAGCTATGGTGAAGCTGTGGAGAGGTCACGTGATGGTTGTGTCTGGAGGTGTGTGTGGTAAATATTGATCCAGAATCATGTGGGACAGTGTGATAATGATTTTATAACTTCCATATATTTATGAATATTCTTACATTTTTTCTAGGTCAGAAGTTTGCACTTATGGAGGAGAAGATCCTGCTGAGCAACATCCTGCGTAAGTTCCGTGTAGAAAGCGTCACCCGCCGAGAGGACTTACGCATTCTTGGAGAGCTCATTCTCAGGCCTGAAAATGGTAACACTTTGAAACTTACTCCCAGAGCATAAGTGTCGAGAAGATACTTTAGACGACTTAAATAGTTTGTAAAGAATTTTGTATTTTAAAGGAACGCTTATGCAATAAAAATAAATATAGTTATAAGAACATGGAAAAAGAGGAACACTACAGCAGGCCCGTTGACCCATACTGGGCACGTCTTTCACAAATCCATCACACTAACAGAATATTCCTACACATTTTCAATGCTACCCAGGCAATAAGCTCTGATAAATTTATTTACTCATCTGCAAGTCCTACTCAAATCCAACCCCTCTCACTCGTATATTTGTCCAACTTAAATTTGAAAATACACAACTAGGCAGACTGTTCCACTCATCACCTACCCCATTTCCAAACCAATACTTTCCTATATCTTTTCTGAATCTAAACTTACCTAATTTGAATCTATTATTGCGGGTTCTCTATTGGAAAAATATCCTCAAAACCTTATTTACATCCCGTTTGTTAAAACCCATCTTCTACATATACACTTCAATCGTGTCTCCCCTCATTCTTCGTTTTACAAGTGAATGTAATTTAAAGGACTTCAATCTTTCCTCATACAGAAGATTTCTAATGCTATGTATTAATTTTGTCATTCTTACCTTTTTCTAACAAATTTATGTCCATTCTGTAATACGGAGACCGGAACTGAGCTGAGTAATCTAGGTGAGGCCTTACTAATGATGTATAAAGCTGGAATTCTGTTGCTTGCACTTCTTGATATAAATCCCAGTAATCTGTTCGCTTAGGCATTGCTGTCTTGGTTTAAGGTTGCGTCTTACCATAACCTCCTCAAGCCCTTTTTCGCATTCTCTATGGCTAAGTTCTTCTTATGTAGCTTATAAATTTTAGGGTTATGAACATTCCAAGCCTCAAAACCTTGCATTTATCTACATAGAACTGCATCTGCCACTATTCGAACACTAAGTTTGCCCTAAATCCTCCTGAAGTTCCGTGACATCTACATCTGAATCTTTTATCCTCCCATCGAGTCTTTCAGCGAATTTGCTAATATCATTAGAATTCTCTCGTCAAGGTTATTGATATATATTATAAGCAACATTGGACCTAAAATTGATCCCTGTGGAACGCCACTTGTTACAGATCCCCGCACCGATTTTTCTCCATTTAATACACACGCTACTTCCTGTTGGTGAGGCATGTTTTATCCATGACAGCACTTCTTCCCCATTGCCGTGAGCTGCCACTTTCTTTATCAGTCTCTAGTGCGGTACTCTTTAAAAGGGCCCTTACTAAAATCCAAATAAACAATCAAATTCTTTATCGTGATAAACAGCCTCAAAAGCTTTACTGAAAAAGTTAGTAAATTATTTTAGCAGGAACGGCCATTCGTTGAATCCATGTGATTCCATTAACCCAGTTGTGCTTATCAAGATGATTTCTTATATCAGGTGTAACTGACTAGTAATTTACCAAGAATTGAGGTCAGGCATATTGGCCGGTACTATAACGGTAACGACTTGTCCCGTGATTTAAAAGTAAGAATTACATTGGCTATCTTCCACATATCAGAAACTACACATGTTCTAAGAGATATGTTATAAATGTTTGTCAATGGTTCACACAGTTCCAATTTGCACTCCATAAGAACCCTTGAAAAAAATTCATTCAGGGCCCGGGGATTTATTTTGTTTTAGTTCGGTCTACTTGTTTGATTACCATATCCCTAGTGACTGTGATATTATATATTTATCATCTTCAGGCCCACTATGAAAGTTAATTATTGGGATATTGTTAGTGTCTCCCTGTGTGAAAACTGAGAGAAAATATTTAAAAAAAATCGAGCACATATCATCTCCCTGTCAGTAAGATGGCCCGGAGTTATTTTTATGGGGACCTATCTTTTCTCTAACTTTTGCCCTTTAAACCTGGAGAAAACCATTTGTGTTAGTTTTCGAATCTCTAGCAACTTCAATTTTGTAGTCCCGTTTAGCTTTTCTTATCTCCTTTTTAACCTCCCTCTTAGTGTGAATATATTGATTCGTAAGATGACCCTCACCTCGTTTGATACGTCCATAAATTACTTATTTCTGCCCTAAAAGATGTTTGACCTTATTATTCATCCATTTCGAGTCATTTCTGCTCGATCTAATTTCTTTATACGGAATAAATTTTCTTTGGGCAGCATATATATAGAGTTTAGAATGCTGTCATACTGAGAGCGCTCTCTACTAAGCGAAAATCTGGGACCACTACTGAGTTATCCCTACTATCATACTTTCATTCAATGCTGAAGGTAATTGATCTGTGGTCGCTTGCAGCAAGTTCCTCTGTAATTTCTATATTATTAACAAGGGTTTCCTGGTTTGCCACAAAGTCAAATAGGTTATTTCCCTTTGTAGGTTCTGAAAGATACTGCTTTAAAAAACAATCCTAAAACTATAAGAAGTCGTTAGATTTTAAATTCCGTCAAGAAATTCCAATCCCAAACTGACTAAAGTGAAGTCCCATAGAATTACTATGTTATCGTTCCTTGTGATCCTAACAATTTCCTCCCACAGTAGTCTTCCTTGGTCTCTATCCAAGTATGGGTGGCGGTATATCACGCCTAAAATCAATTTCTTGTGCCCCTCTGAAAATTCTACCCAGACAGACTCAGTATGTGTTATTTCAGACTTTATTCCAGTTTATATGCAACAATTCAAGTGAACTCGGACATAGAAACATAAGGAATGGGGGTGGAGTGGCACACTATCTACGTGAAACAATTTAAAACCCTGAATGTGACATTCGACAGATATATCTCGATTTTTTATTTTAAACCATGTCTCAGGTATTGCAAATACCTCAGTGTTTCGCCGGGTCGCCATCTGGAGAAGACCCGGGCCGGAAGTACCGGCGAACCAACTCGAACTCGATCCTCAGTGTTACCCGCACTTGCAACTAATCTCAACTCGTCCATCTTATTTCTACCAGTACGACTATTTAGTATATTAGTATAATATAAATTCAGAAAACCTCTCCTCTCTTTTCCTCTTCTTGCTCATTTCTGTTCTTCCATTATCCTGTTAGTGTTTTTGTCACTTATTGTCACTGGCTCTTTAATATTCACCACAAACTTTACCGCATTCTGCCTATAACTGGTTTCCCTAAAACTCGCACTATAGCTACACTGATACCTCACTGCTTTCCCACCAAAACCCATACCACTAACTATGCTTAGTTTAAAGATCTAACAGCTCCATCCACTGCAATGGCCAGTGCCCCCACCCGGAAACCGATAAGTGAACCCCATCTTGGCACACGTCATTTCATGGACAATTGGAGGTCCCAATTGTCCATGAATGTCGCTGCATTTTCCTTACAATGTTTGTTCAGCCAGCACTTGACATCAACTGCTCTGGAGAGCCATTCATTTCCAATTCTTCTCCTTGGCAAAATGCCACATGTCACAGGTCTCCCACCCTTCCAACACAAATCCTATCCCTGCGAGCTCCATTGGAGAGGGAAAGTTTTACCTCCCCATTCACCGTCTTCCATGCTCGTCCACGATGCATTTCTCAAATCGTTGTGAAGATCAAACCAAGAAGTGGGACAGTAAATGACTCGGCCAAATTGGCACTTGCATCTATCATTCGCAGCAGGTTGCTGGTCAAATTCAATGCGATTCTCAAATCAGCTTTCATTTTCGTCTGGACTGACGACATTGAAGCTGAAAAGTTAATCATTCCCCAGCTTTATGGGCCAAAAGAACGGCGTTCCTCCAACGGCTGAACTAACTTATCACAATCCAGCTTATAGAAGAAATCAAGACATCAATAGAAGACCAGAACCCTTGGGCCTCTGTGGACCACATCACCAAAATACCCAATGCATCTTCAGTGCTAAAGGTCAACTTCACTGATGTCAACAAGGCTGCCCAAGCTCTCGCCGAGGGCAAGGCAATCTATTACTTCCACATCAACCCAAATAATCTGAGGCAGAGAGATTCCACCTCATCATGCAATGTTACTGCTGCTACTCTTACTCTCATTCACTCAGGATTGTCCTCTCTAGGATAAAAAAAATTCTGTCTGACCTGCGGCAATGAATGACATGACTTCAAGGCTTGTTCCACCACCGCTCCACCAAAATGCGTAAACTGCAAGAATGAACATTACTCTCCCACTGCCGAATGCCCAATAAGAAGAGAAATACTCAAGAAAAACATAAAACAAGAAAAGAAAACACCTGCAGTATCTACAACATATGCTGCAATCGCAAAACTGCAAGCAGACACCACCAAAATATTTAAGGCCATTTAGACTTCATCCTCCACCAGCAACACATTACCTCCAATACTTGCCGATGAATCTACAAGAATCCTCTACAGTATGATATATGCCCACATGCACAATATGGCCATACCTGGTTCTTTCAACACCACCACCATCAATGAACTCTTCCGACTAAACATGCCATGTTTACATTCCCAGTCTCCACCTTCTTCAGACATAATCAAGACCACCATAAATATCGTCAACGTCTCAATACTTACAAGTCTCTCTCAAGCAGCAGCTCCACCACCATCTCTTACTGGTGACGAGCCGCCTCAGAATCATACCAATGAGATGCTTCCACTGGCTTCCTCCACCAAGAAAACGAACTAATCAGAGACCTCAACCCCGGCCCCCTCCTCCGCTGCAAACACCACCAGTGACAGCACATCAATGACTGCCACAGGCACTGCTACTCCCCAACCACCAGCACATCTAGAAGACAACTCGGAAAGAGCAAAAACCCGTCCACATCCGCCATATAAGTACACCAAATGGAATGGCGTAAGTTCTACACGACAGACCAATACAGTGAAGCTATGCATTGCAAAGAATTTCACACTCGACTCCGTGAGGGAAATGTCAAGTTCACTGGCGAGCATGAATATCTAGGCAGCACCGAAGAAATGTTCGAGGACATCGCAGAGTCTCTTGACGATGAATGTCTCCGATGTTGGTGCAGTCAATTACTATGAAGAACGAAATTTTAAGAATATCAAGAATGCTACCGCCCACTAGCAAGCTTCCTTCCACCAGTCACCATGAAGCTAAGTTCTCTAGCACTCTGGCATGGCCTAAAGCTGGGGTGTGGCTCCATCAGACCTTGTAATGCTCGCTTTCTCGGCCCTTCCTGACACTGCCTGCGGGCTGTGCAGCTTCATCAGCCGCCTCGCATCGCCAACTACTGTGCAGCTGGCAAACCCCTTCAAGACACTCCCGTGACTGGGAGGCAAGCCGAGTCACCACCTGGAAAAGGCCCAGGCCGGCAATGTACCAGCGAATCTACAACAATCCCACCCTACATCCCAATCTCTGTTGCTCTCCTCTCCTATACCTGCTAATCAGGTCCTCATTCTTACGTCTGCCAACATCGTTGCCTCTAGAACTGAGACAAATAATAGGATTGCTCCCATTACCTCTCATGATGTCGTCTAGACGGCTAACAATATCCTTTATCCCAGCTCCTGAAAAACACATTCTCTTCCTACTTGTAAGACAAAAGGCAATATCTATAAACTTGACCTGACTGTTCCCAACTAAAACGATGTTCTTACCTTGGCTGGCGGTGTGCAAAGCGTTCTCGACGGTCTTTGTAGAGATGGCCTTTGCTGCGATGCTCTCACTAGCATACTTTGCTGATTCGTTAACAGTGTTTGCTTGCTGGAAAATCTTCAGACAATCGTCTGCAAACAA